ATATATATATGTATATATATGTTTATTTAGATGTATATTTCTATAACCAGGAACCCTTAAAGATGCTGGTCTTTTGGATTGAAGGCAAACTCTAAACAACTCTAAGCAGCATTAGAAGCGGAAACTGTGGCATATGTTGAGGGTCACTGAAGAGCTTTAGGGTTCAGCGTTTAGGGGTTTAGGGTTTAGGGTTTAGGTGCTGAGGGTACTGAAGAGCTATGAGACGGCGCGTGTCCGACAAAGACAAGACACTTGGCCTCAGGTTTGGACACACAGCTAAACCCTAAACCCTAAACCCTAAACCCTAAACCTAAACCCTAAACTCTAAACCCTAAACCCTAAACCCTAAACCCCAAACCTAAACCCTAAACCCTAAACATGCGGTAGCCTGTCTCCCTCCGTGGTGGTGTAGGTCTCCCCATAACACTCAGCAAATATTGGGGGGGGGGCTTAATAATTAGAATAAGTGTGTTGAGGAAACTTAGACTATAATCGTAAGAAAGAACCCCCCAAATAGTGTTGGCAATTATTGAGGCCCCTAGATTGGTGGCATTGGTGGTCCACCGTCCTGGCCGTAGTTGCAGCGGCACGGGAAGGCACGATAGCCATTGCGAGCTCCAAGTGACCGGCGAGATCAACAAACGGCAGCTCATCCCTGACCCCTGAAGGGTTTAGGGTTTAGGGTTTAGGGCTTAGGGTTAGTTTAGTAAACCCTAACCCCATTCAGGGTCCTAAACCCTAAATCCTTAACCTAAACCCCCAAATTCAAGCCCGAATCCTCACACCCGACTGCCTTAAACAGGCCCCTGGAGACCCCGAGCTTGTCCAGGGAGCGCAATTTAGGGTTTGGGGGCCTGACACCCCCAGATGCACTCAACCGCGCCAGTCTAGGGGCCGTAATAATCAGAATCGGGTTTGGGGGCCGTTATAGTATATTTTATAAAAAGGAACCGCAAAAATAGTATAGGTAGTTGTTGAGGCCCCTACAGCAGAAGCTTTTTTTTCCTGGTGCCCTAAGTCAGCCAGACACCGAAACATGTACCAAAAATACACATTCAAAGCTTGAGAGCCCAGATACCAATCCCAAACCGCAAACAGCTTAATTACCCCCGAACCTCTGACTCAAACCCTAAACCCTAAACCGTGCGATCCACAAAACCAATTCCCGAACCCCGAATCTCGCAAACCCCATCATCCCATGAACCCCAAAGCCCCACCTCCCTCTCCCTTCACTCTCCCCCTGCAAAAAAAAACAAGTCCAAACCCCTAAACCCCAAATATAAGGTAACAAACAACCATTATACTGTAAGTGACTATAAATGTGGATTACTACTAACTGTTAATTTAGACTAAACCCTGAACCCTAAACTTAAGCATCGAGCCAAGTCACACCTCTGCCCTGCATTCAACCAGTGCCCTCGCCACCTCCACGTGACAGCCTTGGTTGCAGCTGGTTTCAGGACTCCGAAACCCTAACTATAGGATCCTTAAGGGAGGGTGGCTCAAGGGGGGAGGGTCCTAGGCATCCTTAGGGAGCTTTAGGGAACCTAAGGGAGTACTAGGGAGAATTGGGGATTACTGGGTTATATACCCCTCCCTTAAGGATTCCATAACCTAACCCCTAAACCCTAAAACCCTAAAACCCTAAACCCGAAACCCGTAATCCGTTTCGAAACACTAAACCCTCAAACGATTTCAGGATCTAGGATTCACGGCCTGGCCTTAGCATCTCACGACTTCCAAACCTCAGTGTAAAGGCCTTAACAACAAACACGGCGTCTTGGGGCTATCATACTGTAATATAGGGGCCTCAATAATTACCTATCATATTTTGGAGGCTCCTTATTGTCACAATAGTATACTAAACCCCAAAACCCTATGTTCAATGATTCAGGCCCCTACTGTACTCTTATTGGGACAACTCGGGAAATCTTACTCTTAGCTATCCGGCCGCAGGCCTGTGAATTAAACACTCGCACACTCCTCCAACCTTTGACTGCTGGCCGGAAGGCGCCGCACGGCCGCGTGAAGCGGCGTTCTTCCGTGGCGGTCCGCCTTCAAGGAGCACTCATAAACGTGTACCCTAAACGGCCCTAAACCCTAAACGCTAAGCCGAGAAACTCCTTCGGGCTCAGAGTTTGTAGCCGGGAATGACGGCTTATAGGCTTCAGTGTAAAGGGTTGTGAGCTGCGAGAGATGAGCACATGATTGGGTTTTGGGCTTGAAGTTGGCCTGGCGGTGAGGTTTAGGGTTTGGGTTTCAGGATGGTAGCTATGAGTGATTAAGAGTTGAAGGGTTTTGTGCTCAGGGGTCTACTGCTTTAACCTGGGGATCCAAAAACCTACCGTTTTACGTCTTCTATCCCTTAATTAAGGGGTCGTAACCTACTATTTTGTAGAGTTTGGGGTCACGGGAATAGATTCGGGTTCAGCGGTTTAGGCTCCGGGTTTTCGACGGCCCAAAACGGCACTGATGCCACACTTGGTGCAGCACCTTGGTCCCTAACCCCTGAACCCTAAACCCTAAACCCCTAAACCCCATCACTCCCCCCATCTCCTGCGAGATCCTATGCTGGAACTGAACCCTCCAAGCAGTAGAATGCAGAGGCCTTAATAATTAGAATAGGCTTTTGGGGTTCCTGATTATATCTATAGTAGATTTTACCCCAAAACAGCATTCTAATAATTTGAATAGGGTTTGGGGGTTCCTTCTTATATCTTTAGTGTATTTTACCCGTAAACCCATTCAAATTATTAAGGCCCCCATAATATGTAGTCGCTGTTGTCATGGACCACCGACTTATTAGAGCGCCGGAAAGCGTCGAGTTCTCAAGATGTCCCATTTCGGCCCGTGCGTTCAGCAGCGACCCTAAACCCTAAACCCTAAACCCTAAACCAAGCAGCATACCCTAAACCCTAAACCCTAAACCCTAAACCCTAAACCCTAAACCCTAAACCCTAAACCCTAAGCCAAGCAGCATACCCTAAACCCCAAACCTTGCTGAGGCAAAATGTGCTGCCGGATTCCCGGCTAAACTCAGGCCAGTGCTTCATGATTACTCTGATTCTGAATATTCCTATTTCTAAAGAACTGTTGTTCTTACTATCATTCTGATTATTGCCATTCCTAAAGAACTGTTGTTCTTACTCTGACTCTGATTATTGCTATTTCTAAAGAACTGTTGTTCTTACTCTGACTCTGATTATTGCTATTTCTAAAGAACTGTTGTTCTTACTCTGACTCTGATTATTGCTATTCCTAAAGAACTGTTGTTCTTACTCTGACTCTGATTATTGCTATTTCTTAGGGGTTTAGGGTTTAGGGTTTAGGGTTTAGGGTTTAGGGTTTAGGGTTTAGGGTTTAGGGTTTAGGGTTTAGGGTTTATGAGGGCTCCTCATTATTGTTCTTACTATCTTCAGAGCCAAGCGAAATGCAACGTCGGCTGTTCACGCGCAGGTTCAGCCTTCGGCCCTGACCTGGTTGTGCAGCGACCTTTTTAGGGTGTTGGGTTTAGGGTTTAGGGTTTAGGGTTTTGGGTTTAGGGTTTTTTTTTTTTTTAAGGGCCTTTTCTGTTGCTTGCGCTCCAAAGCCCCTGTTGGGTTTAGGGTTTAGGGTTTAGGGTTTTGGGTTTAGGGTTTAGGGTTTAGGGTTTTGGGTTTAGGGTTTAGGGTTTAGGGATGATAACGTCCGTGCTACTGAGCGTACGATTTCTGCTTCTGGTCGAAAAGACCGATCACCGCAACGACCTTGGCTGCGCCGTGCCGACTGCTTGCAAGATATACCAGAGCATCCGGAAGAGAATTTAATGTAGGGGCCTTAACAATTGGAATAGGGTTTGGGTGTATATTATACTATACTTATAATAAGGAACTCTAGGCAAGTATTCATGCCCCTATGTTACTGCGTCCTGGCAGGTGGAGGCCAGCAACGAAGGCAGCGGCATCTCAACTCCTCCATGACAGCGGCAGCAACAGTGATCCACTCTTGGCCCGGAGGGTTTAGGACATACCCAAAACCCTAAACCCAAAACCCTAAACCCTAAACCCTAAACCCTAAACTCTAAACTCTAAACTCTAAACCTTAAACCCTAAACCCAAAGCCCTAAACCCGACACCCTAGGTCGCGGTCCCGGCAGGCATCATGTCCTTCTGTTGCACCAACCTTGGGCTTGAAGTAAAGCTTCGGGTCTGCCAGTGGCTCCAAAGATTTTAGGGCTTAGGCATTAGGGTTTGGGGTCCAGGGTTGAGGGTTATACGGTTAAGGTTTAGGGTTTGGGGTCTAGGGTTCAGGATTAGGGTTTAGGGTTTAGGCATTAGGGTTTAGGGTTTAGGGTTTAGGGTTTAGGGTTTAGGGTTAGGGTTTAGGGTTCAGGCTTTAGGCTTTATGAGGGCTCCTCGTTATGATTTCTAGCTTCGAAGAAGCAGAGCCAAACCCTTGACCTTGAACTCCACAAGCCTGTAAGTCGTCATTCGTCATACTCAGGCATTCATGACTGGAATATGAATAGGGTTTCGCAGGTGAAGCTGCTGTAGTTGGGAAGAGACTATGAGAGGACACTTTAATTGTTTCGACCTCTGATACCTTAACCCTAAACTCTGAACCCTACCCTACAGCCTGAACCCTAAACCCACAGCCCTAAACCCTGAACCCAAAACACAAAATCCTACACCTGAGGTTTGATGTAACCATCTGAACCCCAAACCCAAAATCCTACACCTGAGGCTTGCCGTAACCATCCTCCTGGCTTGCCGGCCTTGTTGACGATGGCACGGGATCCGATCAGGAGCTTCAAGATCTCCTCAAACCCTTAACCCTACACCCTCAACCCTACACCCTAAACCCAAAGCCCTAAACCCCTAAACCCTAAACCCTAAACCCCTAAACCCTAAACCCTAAAGCCCTAAACCCCTACACCCTAAACCCATCAGAAGCTTTAAGATCCCCTCTTTGGGAAGCTTTGCCGTTCTGGGTTGACGCAGAAAGGTCTAGACCTGGCCTAGGGCTTGGGGATTAGGGTTTAGGGTTTAGGGTTTAGGGTTTAGGGTTTAGGGTTTAGGGTTTAGGGTTTAGGGTTTAGGGTTTAGGGTTTTTTGGTTCAGGGTTTAGGGTTCAGGGTGTAGGGTTTAGTGTTTGGGCAGGGTTTAGGGTTTCGTGTTTAGGGTTTTATTGTGGAGGATAAAGGTATAGGTTTTTAAGCCTTAGGCTCAGGGTTAAGTGTTCTGAGCTTGGTCTCTACACGGGACTGTGGCGAACCTGCCCCTGTTCAGAAAAACGAACCGCAAATCCAAAATCCTAAACCCTAAACCCTAAACCCTAAACCCTAAACCCCTAAGCCGTAACCATAAGCCCGACACCGAAACCCCCAAACCCTAAACCCGCGCACCATATCTGCCCAAGACGCTGTTAAAGTCAAACAGTCCCCAAAGCCCAACACCGGCACACCGTTAGTCTCGGAGAGAGAGAGAGAGAGTCTAGAATTTGGGTTTAGGGTTCAGGGTTTAGACTGTAGGGCTTATAGGTTTGAGCTTTGAGGTTTAGGGCTTTGTTGGTTTGAGTCCTCCATCCCAAACATCAGAGCTGAAGCCTTGGCGGCTCTGTGCCCTGAACCGAAATGCCCGAAGATAAGGACAAGTAGCCAAGTGGTTAGCATCCGCCGCCGCATAGACAGGGCTCCGTCCTGCGAAGCCAGGGGTTTAGGGTTTAGGGTTCCCGAAACCCTACACCGTTCCAGAGCGATTGAGGTTGCTGGCGAAATCGTCGACGGAATGCCTAAAGAGGAAGTCGAGGTCACTGACACGTCGCAAGCCTAGACCCCAGAAGGGAAGGGGAGGGCAAGGAGGAAGATAAGTCTGTATACTGCACGCCAGAATCACATCAATGTCACATCATGCAATGATGATACATGTAGGTCAAATACATGCCAACGTTGCTACTTGCTCTTGGTTTGCTCAGCAGCTGCCAACACGCCGGGGCTAAGTCCCCCTGCTCGGCTTGAAGACTGTCTTCGAAGGCCGTGAGTGCGTGAGTGAGTGAGTGAGTGAGTGAGTGAGTGAGTGAGTGAGTGAGTGAGTGAGTGAGTGAGGGAGTGAGTGAGTGAGGTCAGGTACATTGGTAGCTGCACTGTGCGAAGAGTCGAGTGCGAACCACTTTCGCGGGTTGTGCTGCTGTACTACGCCAATGAAGCAAGACGTCTTCACCCACCTGGACTTCTAAGCAATGCACCTATTCGTGCAACCTTCCATGCACACGTCGAACCTCCAGGTGATTGAAGCTTACGTCATCTGGTGTGAAGCACGAAGCCATGGTGATGGAATAGGTTGATGAGCAGTCCACTGCCACGGAAGCGGCCTCTAACCCCTGCACACAAAGCTCAACATGCGAAAGGCCTACACCAAAAAGCCCGAATCTCCAAAACCCTGGCGGACGGAAGCCACATTTCAAAACAGAGGCAGAAACAGACATCCAAACGTTGCTGCACGCTGAGAGATTCTGGGCTTCGCATGCTTGCAGTTTACAGTCTTTGAGTTCAGTGAATGAGGCTTGAAGGGTTCAGAGCTCTAGGGTTTCGGTTCGTAGGGTCTAGAATTTTGGTGCCCCGGCGTTTAGGGTTTGGGGTTTAGGGTTTGCTCTGCACATGCTAAGATATGGTAGGGGTTGAGAGGGGCGAAGCATCGGCCGAAAAGAAGGCAGAAAGCAAAACTGGCAGTACGGTTGATGATATACATCCTGCATTACCCATCATAAGGAACATACCCTAAACCCTAAACCCTACTTCCCATGGTTTAGGGTCCTTAAGGTACTGCAGGATTTATATCATCGACAGTAGTTACCGTCAAACCTGGAAGCCTAGACCCTAGACCCCAAACCGTCAAACATGCAACCACCGGTTCACAGTTGGGGGTTTAGGGTTTACGGTTCAGGCTAGGTGCAATGACTCAATACAGGGTTTTGGGCACAGGGGTCCAATCACGATTTCCAGTTGCGGGTAATCAAAAACACTGCGAAACCCTAAACCCTAAACCCCTAAACCCTAAACCCCTAAACCCCTAAACCCTAAACCCCTAAACCCTAAACCCCTAAACCCTAAACCCCTAAGCCCTAAATCCCGTAAACCCTAAACCCTAAACCCTAAAATTCCAGAGAGGTCCTTGAGCATCAGGCCGATCCTGATCCGCGCCGCTGTTCATCACCAGCCGGACGACCTAAACACTCAAACTCAATCGGTTTTGGGTTTCAGGGCTTTAGGGTTTAGGGTTTAGGTTTTTGGGTTTAGGGTTTAGCGTTTAGGGCTTTAAGGTTTTAGGGTTTAGGGTTTAGGGTTTAGGGGTTTAGGGTTTTAGGGTTTAGGGGTTCAGGGTTTAGGGTTCTAAGGTTCAATTGCATGGACGCGAAGAAACCTAGCTTTTTAGGACTCCCTAATAAGACTTCCTCGTAGAACTCATCAAAGGTAGGTTCTTTGGGGTTCAGGCAGTCCTTGTGATTGTCCAGGATTGGCGCAAGCTCTTTACGGCTTCATGACATCCGGCAGGTTTTGTGATTGTAAGCAGCCCACGACTGGCGCTTTAAGTACCCTACGTGGAGCTATTCTTAACCCTCAAACCCCGAGCCCCCAGCCCGAAACCCTAAAACCTAAACCCTAAACGCTCCCAACCCTAAACCCTAAACCCTCAAACCCCAAACCCTCAAATCTGCTTGCCTCGGTGTGTCCGTTCGCAGCGGCGAGCTGCAAAGGCACCTGACACAGTCGACTGCAACAAAGGACTGGGTGACATACGGTTGATGAAACAAATCCTGCATTACCCATAATCAGGAATATACCATAATTCCCACAGTGTAGGGTCCTTAAGCTAATGCAGGATTTATATCATCAACAGTAGCTGCCTAAGGGTTTAGGGTTTAGGGTTTAGGGTGGTTTGTGGGTCTTGGTCCAGGGTGTTCAGGTGGGGCAGATAGAGCCCTGAAGCTCGTATGGCCCACATGCTAAGGCTCTGGGGGTGCAAAGACTCTACCGTGTAAGGCTTATCAAGTCCGCGAGTTGCCGAGCAGTGGGTCACGCTGCGCGCCACTGTGTCGAGGACCTTCGCGTGGGTGACCGGCGCCTTGCTCGTGTCCACGACTCTCTCCCTTTTCTCGGCGTCCCACTTCGCGTAAGTCCAGCAGGGTGACGCGTTCGGTGTCTCCTGCAACCAGCCTGCGTTCACTAAGACCTCCTTGTTGTTCGGCTCCAGGGCGTGGCGTAGATGTTCGTGGCTCAGGGCACTTAGAGAAGTAGTGTTATATCTCATTGTAGCATGAAACCCACACACCTGATTAAAGCAAGACAGTGAATATCGGCTACCGCAACGATGGACACGGCGATTTGAGGTTTAGAGTTAGCATTACTGGGCAAGGTTCGGACAATAGCTACGAACATAAAAACGACAAAGATAGTCATAAATTATAGCAAGACGAGTAGTAGCCGACCTTTGCTCCTTGTTTAAGAAATACCTATAGTCTCCATTGTAGGTCCTTTTTTGGGGCTACCTTATAGGATCC